TGGAGAGCCATAAGAACAAGAGAACAGGGAGAGATGGCGGGTCCCCATTCTCCCTTTTTTCTTTACGATGTCTTGTGGAGTTTGTGTTTGCCTTTTCCCCAGCTCTCTTTATATGGCTAGCACTCCTCAGCCTTCAAGTTTCACCTTGAAGGACATCTCAACATGAAGACCTTCCCTTATCACCCTGATCAGTCACACCCTCTGATTTTCTCAATCACATCACCCTGTTTGTTTGCATTAAAATATAACAAAAACATTCGTGATTACTTTGTTTATTGACTTCAGACTGTGAGGGTAGGGAACATTTCTATCTTGTCCTTCATTGTATTCCCAGAGTCTATCGCAGTACCTAATACAGAGGAGGAGCAAAATAAATATTTGTGAATAAGTGAACGATTGATGCAGTCTAGGATTATAACCCTGGTAACATGTCTGTCTCTTCATCCAATTAAAAAAATTCATTGAAGTCAAGGACAATTTTTGAGTTTCTGTTCAATTAATGATTAATTGATTATTGGCTGCCTTACCTATCCACACTTTGTCATTTGTGTTGACTAAACGCCTGGTATACAAATGCCCTTATTGTAATTTTGTTACAGTGACCCTAGACCAAAAGAAATACCCAGCAGTTCCATTTAAGTAATTAGACCCAAACAACTTAAATATTTATGCCCTACTTAGTGATCGTTTGAAAAACCAATGCACATAAATTGAAAGAGAAAATAATAATTTTATTTCATTCTTAGATAACCAAAACCAAAATATTAATGGAATATATGCACCTGTTAGACACCACTTAAACCTTCTCAAACCTAGGAATCATAGTGAAAAACCACAGCTCTAAATTCTGTTTTGCCTTGATTTTCAAGTGGCATTTGCTTTTTGATCACAGCAACTACTGAAAATCCAGCTTCACAAAGATTGCCTTCAAAAGGAATGTGCAATCTAGTGTTGAAACTGAGAGCTACCTCGAGCTGGCAATTTTCACAATGTCTGACTGATGTCAAATATTTTTTGTTTCCCTTGAACATTTAATATAACACACGATGTCTCTGTGAATTGCAACACCACCCATGGGTGCCTCAGAGCACAGTTTGGGAACCAAGGAAAGGGGCTTTTAAGTCTAGCAGATGTGAATTGAAATCTTGGCTCTAACCTCATTACCAATTATGTAACCTGACAAGTCAAGTCACTAAAACCTTTCTGAGTCTTGGCTTCTTTATCTTAAAAAAAAAAAAAAAAAGATAATAACACCCTTTCAAAGTTTTTGTGGAGATGACATCAGATAATAATAGGCATTTATAAACAGCTCCAAGCACAGTTCTTGGCACAGAGGAAGGCTACAATAAATGATAATTCCCTCCCCTTCCTCAAGGGAATGATGTGCCCCTTCCTGCCCCATTCTCCTTTAATCCTTCTGCGGTCACTACCCGGATACCTGTTCACCACGTCCACCACCACTTTCAAAAATGTTCTACACTTTTCTTTTTGTTAGGGGACTCAGCCTAATCTTTCTCTATAGAGGAAACATATCTTTCTCCTGGTAGTAGAGACCTGTCAGTTACCCTTAAAAATTTCCTTAAATTGCCTTTATTACTAGGCCGGACTCTCAAAAGCTCAGAAATAAGCTTTTTTTCTTTTCCTTTGACTTCTACCTTAGGCTCCCTTTCTCTTTGGCAGCAGCAGCCAAGATGTCGTTTGAAGAGTGGAAAGGCAGAGGGGTGAAAAACAAAATTTTACCTTTTCTTTCTCCTTCACTTCTGTCTATGCGCCAGAAAGAAATATGGTTCAATGTGCTTACAATGGGATCGCCACCAAATCTGATTCCCTACCAGTAACTTCCACTGCCTTCACGCATAGAAACAGTCCCCAAAATTTCACTTTTCCAACAGAGAGTCGATTCCTCGAGCCTCTATAAGAAAATTTATACAGACAAAAGTCAATGATTGATTTACTTTGTTGGATAGTTAACTTTGTTCTGTGAAGCCCATTTGAGAAATGAGCTTTACTTGGGATAGACAACATGATGTACACAGTATCACATAGAAAACTTTTGAGTAGGACAGATCCCAATTCAAATCCAGGCTCTATCATTTATTAAGTTTGTGAATTAGAATTATGACTTCACCTCTCTGAGCCTCCATTTCCTTATTTGTAAAATAAAAATAATAATTATTTTAAAATAATAGATAATTATAATAAACAACATTATATTTGGAATAATTGACAGGGATAATACAGATAAAGTGTTTAGCACAATAGCAACATAATGGATGCTCCTTAACTGATGACCATTATCATCACTGTCATCATCATCATCATCACTTTGCTCATAAAGATAAGAGAATCTACCTGGATCAGTGCAAATTCATCATTCCTGCTACGACAGTGTCATCTCTTAGGTGGAGGGCCACAGAACTCTAGGGATGAAATGCAAGTTCGTAATTAGCTGATGATCATACTCTTCCTGGTCACTAAGGCTCTTTTTTGATTCACAATAGAAATTCTTAAACAGGGTCAGAAACTTGAACCTGAGCCATACCACAGCTACCGTGCAGAGTTCCGGTCACAAATTTGACCGGAACAAGTTTGAAAGTTTGATCAATGCAAATAAGATGACTTGAGTACTGACTCTGTAGGGCATAAGGGGAAAAAAAAATGAGACTCAATTATATTAACATTCTGTACTTGTACAACTATTTGGTTTGCTTTTTTGTGTTTCTATTTTATTTTTGTTTTTGTTTTTAAATAAAACAAAATTCCTATACTTGTAATTAGGTGTAATAAGAATATTTCCTTTTAAAATTATTATTTCAACAAATAAATTACCTTTTGAGTCATAGAATATTAGTACTAAACAGGAATTAACACTAATTCCTATTATCTGTTTACCTATATTTTAATGATGAATTGAATAAGGTCCAGAGAGATACACTGCCTTGTCCAAAGTAAGCTGATTAATAAATGATTAAAAAAAGAAACAGAAATAGAATGGAAATATGATACCTTATAACTGAAATTTTTTTGACAAGTCAACACATTTTATGCCTTTCATGGTACTGTTTTGCAAATTCACATCTTCTTAGAAATTTCTCGAAAGGTATGTAAAGGTTTTTATTCTCTATTCTGTCACCTCAAAACTTTATTGTATATTTCTTATGCTAAACCTTTGAAATTATTTTCAAAAATCCATGAAAACACAGATTTCCTTCTTCAGTTATAGAATTTTCATCAATCCCAGTCTCTTGTCTATCCCTCTTCAAATCTGATATTTCATTTTAAGTCCTCTGTGTGCTCACAGCCACGCTTACCAGGAGGCAGCATAATATAAGGGAGGATCACTGGAATAGAACCCAAGAGAATCCTGCTCCAGTGATGAATCTTTGTCTAATTATCTATGTGAGCCTAGGCCTGAGCTCAGTCTCAGAATCGTCTCTAGAAAACAAAAAAAGTTGGCCTAGAGCTAGGAAATCTTTCAATTTTCTTCCCTTAAAATTTCTTTAAAAAAATTAACAAGTATCAGATATACCCATGTTTTTCACAGGCAAATATTTCCATACAAACCTAACCAAAACAATCTTCCAAGATAGAACTTAAACTAAGAGTTAAAGAAAGGGATGTGTTTCTTTGCAGTACCCAAAGAACTAAACCTGTCACTATGGGGGTCCTTGGCAATATATTAAATTTATAGTAAGAATTTCTCTCTGTTCATTACACCAATCAATTAATTATAAGGCAGGACTTTTTAAATTTATATTTTGTCCTCAAATATATTCTTTCTCTGATTTAATAAAATATTTCTAAATGTGTCATATTAATATCCCAAACTAACAACATACTGAGAAATTAAAAACTAAGGCCAGATGCAGTGGCTCCTGCCTGTGACCCAGTGCACCTTGGGAGGCTGAGGTGGGAGGATTGCTTGAGCTCAGGAGTTCAAGGTTACAGTGACCTGTGATTGCACAACTGCAATCCAGGCTGGGTGACAGAGCAAGACTGTCTCTAAAAAAAAGTACTAAAAATTTAAAAATAAATGAAAATTATTCTTTGAATTAAAATTAATCTAAAGTTTAAGACAAAGACATAAAGATAGTTACTATGCATAAATTTATATCGCTACTTACTTATAGGCATAGATAAGGCATTTTTTTATGTTGAAGAAAATGAAAATTTGGTATTGCCTTCCCTAACTCTCTCTCACTACCTGGTTACTGGTAATGATAATATGAATTATAAAGATCAAAATTCATGGTTTTTTAATGTGTTCATTAGTCATGAAGTTACAGTCTTATATCAATGTTGCTCATTACACTCAGTGAATGGATATAGAATGAAGATTTAGCAGGCTAGATTGGTCATGAGAGAACTAGAAACCTTAGGAAGAAGGTATATTAGAACTAGAGAAATTGCAGAGATGATCACTTGGGAAACAGTAGAAATTAAGAGAGAGACTGGGGAAAGAGCAGGATTTATAGGACCCATCACTGCATTAATATGGCTAGGGATGCCAAAAAAAATTCTAATTGGTCAGTAATATACTTTCCTTTTAAAACTCTTAGAGAGTTAACTCCCTAAAATTCTTACATGTTTATATATAATATATATGTATGAATCATACTACTCATATATGGCTTGTCATAATTGTCTGGTGTTATAGTGAATTATGTCTCATCTTCCCAACTAGATTGTAAACTCCCAGAGGGCACAGGCCACATTTTGTCTTTCTTTGGAACCTCCACAGTTCTTTGCACAGTGTCAGGCATATGAGCAATATGCAAAAAAAGAAAAAAAAGTCTGGTGAATAAGTGGCCTCACTTAAATTAGAAAAAAAAAATAGTGCTTAACTCAGAGTTACGTATGGTTCATTTCTCCCAGTGGTCCACAGTGAATTAAATTCTAGAGCCACATCTTTGAATCTGAGCCAAATAGAGATATTGCCATCTTGGTTAACCATTGTTTAAATGTTTACTTTCCTTGTCCTATATTATTATATCTCTCAGGATTCTTTTGTTCATCCAGCTAATGAAATGAGGATTGGGGAACTTCACCCTTCATTAGCTGAGACCCCTCTGTATCCACCCAAACTTGTTCTGCTAGGGAAGGACAAAAAAGGTAACATTATGAACCTGATGTGGGAAATATGCCGCAAATGCATGTGCATGATGAATCACCAGTAGTACATTATGATACACCGTAGTCTATAAAAATATTTTACAAATATACATCTCTAACATTAATCGGTATGGTATCCGTTTTCATACTTGCTTTTCTGTGTCTGTAATTGTCAATGTTCATAGCATTGTAACGTTTTTACCCTTTAAATTTCAGAATCAACTGATGAGTCTGAAGTTGACAAAACTCACTGTCTGAATAACAGTGTTTCCTCAGGCACTTACTCAGACTACTCGCCTTCCCAGGCCTCCTCAGGATCCTCTAACACCCGGGTTAAAATGGGGTCCTTGCAGACAACAGCTAAAGATGCAGTACATAATTCTTTGTGGGGTAACAGGTGTGTTTAGAATCCCCTCTTTTTTGTTCCCAAATGCTTATTTTCAGCAACTTTTTTTAAAAATGGAATCTTCTTAATTTTGGAATTGTTTTCGGCACAATTCTATGAGTGGCATAGAAGACAGAAGAGGCAGGTAAGCAAATGTAGTTCACTTGGGACTTTCAAGTACAGATGAATCCATCTTACAGGTGATGCCAGTGATTGAGGGAGACATGGTTGGAGATTAAGAGGATGAGATGATAGAACAAAAAATTTTAAAAATCAAACATTGTGTTTGCCCAACACTTTTTGATGAGGCATGTGGACATTTTGCCATCCAAAAAAGATGCCAGGAAAGCACTTATGTGCCTGATGCAGAGTAAATGTTCAATAAATTTTCATTGCTCTCACCATCATCGTCATGATGTTATCACCACCTGGAAAAGTTAGAATGTATTTAAAAGTATTTAATCTTTCCAAAATGGCTCCTACTCTATATTATTCCAATTTTATGGATGAAAAAACAAAAACCACAGAGCAAAATACAGTGACTCAATAAGATGGTATTTTCCCAGTTCTAATTTTTTGTAACTTATTGCTGTGGTTTTTTACACTACAAATAGCAAATAAAAATTGTCAAATTATAGGTAATCAATAACTTTTACTCATATTTTACTAATATTGCCACTATTGGCAATATTTTCTTTAGTAATTCATGAATAACTATTTCTATTCATCAATGCCCATGATAAAAATATTAACTCAGTTTATAAATTCATTATTTTTGTATGAGCTGAGATTAATTTAGGTACTTTTGGAAGATACCTTCTAAATGTACTTTTTTTTAAATTAGCAGAAGCACATACAAATATTTCCATCATTAATAAAAGGTATATAATTCAATTTTAGTGTGTAAATGGTTTATAATAAACTTAGAAAAATTACCATCTGCTAGAAATACTATGGTCACTGATGTAAACATGCCAATAACCTAAAGTCATAATATAATTTACATTCTAGAAAAATATACCTGAATGTGCTCTCTATACAATGCCATTTAGTGTTTTCAAAACCTGGCCTTCAAATAAATGTTATTTGAAGACAATTTAGATTCATTAGATATACCAAGCATTTGTAAGAAAGTACTCTCAAACAATATTTTGGAAAATCAGAATCTACAGGGATGAGTACCAGGAATCACATGATTCTAATTATCAGTCAGGTTTCAGGGCCACTACTGAAAATCTATATATTTCATTCAGTCCTTCAACAAATATGTATTTAATGCCTACTGTGTGCCAGGCACTATTCTAGGCCTGAAGAGAAAAAGATCTCTGTTCTCGTGAGTTTACATTCTAGCAGAGGACAGGAGACAATATGCAATACATATAAAAGGTAAGTAAATTATATGATATGTTAGAAGGTGATTATTAGTAGGAAGAGATAAAAGTTAGAGTAGGGTAGAGGGATGGCTTTCTTTCGAACATGAAATAATAATACTATCTTGATCATAAGTCAGGTGAGGATGAATGAGCAGCTAAAGGATGGTGGCCTTCTTTGCTGCTTGCTCTCTTTCTGGCAAAGACCCAGCTCTTCCTCATTTTCATATTTCTTCTTCCCTTTGCGTTCACAGGATTGCACCACCTTTCCCACAGCCTCTTGACGCAAAGCCATTACTCAGCCAGCGGGAGGCTGTTCCCCAAGGGAATCTACCACAGCGCCCTGACAGGCTGCCAATGGGTGATGCTTTCACTGACAACTGGACTGATGGCTCACATTATGACAACACTGGGTTTGTTGCTGAGGAAACCACAGCAGAGAATGCCAACAATAATCCTCTCTTAAATTCGAAATCTAGAAGCTCATCTTCTCATGGACGCAGGCCTTTGATCAGGCAGGATAGGATTGTTGGTGTTCCCCTGGAACTTGAGCAGTCTACACACAGACACACACCAGAAACAGAAGTGCCTCCTTCTAATCCTTGGCAGAATTGGACCAGAACCCCTAGTCCTTTTGAAGACAGGACAGCTTTTCCTTCCAAATTAGAGACAACCCCCACTACCAGCCCCTTGCCTGAAAGGAAAGAACATATCAAAGAATCTACTGAAATACCTAGTCCTTTTTCTCCAGGAGTACCATGGGAGTATCATGATTCCAATCCCAACAGGAGTCTTAGTAATGTCTTTTCTCAAATCCACTGCCACCCAGAATCTTCTAAAGGTGTTATTTCAATTAGCAAAAGCACAGAGAGGCTTTCCCCACTAATGAAAGATATAAAGTCCAATAAATTCAAAAAGTCACAGAGTATCGATGAGATTGACATTGGTACATACAAGGTTTATAATATACCATTAGAAAACTATGCTTCTGGGAGTGATCACTTGGGAAGCCACGAACGACCAGATAAAATGTTGGGACCAGAGCACGGTATGTCCAGTATGTCTCGAAGCCAATCGGTCCCAATGCTGGATGACGAGATGCTCACTTATGGAAGTAGTAAAGGGCCACAACAACAAAAAGCATCTATGACAAAAAAAGTCTATCAGTTTGACCAAAGCTTCAATCCTCAAGGAATGGTGGAAGTGAAAGCTGATAAGAGGATACCACCCTCTTTTCAACACAATTCGGAGTATGTGCAGCAGCCCGGCAAAAACATGACCAAGGATTTGATTAGCCCTAGAGCGTACAGAGGATACCCACCAATGGAGCAAATGTTTTCATTTTCGCAGCCATCGGTGAATGAGGATGCTGTGGTGAACGCCCAGTTCGCAAGCCAAGGGGCAAGGGCAGGCTTCTTGAGAAGGGCCGACTCCCTGGTGAGCTCCACAGAAATGGCCATGTTTAGAAGGGTCAGTGAGCACGAGCTGCCCCCGACTGATAGGTACGGCAGACCTCCGTATAGGGGAGGGCTGGATCGCCAAAGCAGCGTTTCAGTGACTGAGTCCCAGTTCCTGAAAAGGAATGGCAGGTATGAAGATGAACACCCTTCATATCAAGAAGTGAAAGCTCAGGCGGGAAGTTTTCCAGTTAAAAACCTAACCCAGAGGAGGCCACTGTCTGCAAGAAGCTACAGTACAGAGAGTTACGGTGCCTCCCAAACCAGGCCAGTTTCAGCTAGGCCTACTATGGCAGCTCTTTTGGAAAAAATACCGTCTGACTATAACTTGGGTAACTATGGTGACAAGCCATCAGATAACAGTGATATAAAGACGAGGCCTACTCCTGTGAAGGGAGAGGAGAGCTGTGGTAAAATGCCTGCAGACTGGAGACAACAGCTGCTTAGACATATAGAAGCTAGAAGGTTAGACAGGGTATGTCTGGCATTTCTCTGTAAGAATATCTCTCCTGCCTTTAGTGTTACTTTATTGGCATTTCTAAGCACATGTAGTGAAGCATGAACTACATGAATGAGTAGATGATCAGTATTTTATTTATCTTTATATTGTGGGGGAAATGAATCATAATAGCTTTTGTGGATATTGCTTAATGCTTTCTGAGAGTCCGTAACCTGCAGGTGAATTATTTATCGAATCTAGCCTAAATATTGTTAGTGAGAAAGAATTTGACTCTATTATATGGCATGGTGCTTCAATTGCTTTCTAGCCATTAAGGCAAAATGCCTCTTCTAGGACACAAAACTGTTCTCTAGTGACCTAAAGAGTATGATTTTTATTGAATATATAAAAAGTGAGTATTTTGCCCCTTTCCGAACAGACTCACTTATATTAAAGTCAGGCCTGATTTGTTTATAAAATTTGCACATAGTTACTGCTATGGGACTACTAACGTTATTACTTCTAATGAGCAATAATCTTCCCAGCAAGAAACAGAAAAATCAGCAGAGATTAAATGCCCTCCCACACATAAATTTATTTAATAAAAATCCTGTCATTTAAAATGTTGGTTTTTATATAGAAGGAAATGTTTAAACTCAAATTATACCACAGAAAACAAAAATAGATGTTGTCTTTATGAAGACTACAAATGTATAAATTAGTATGAATATTGCAGCAAAAAAAGGAAATTAATCCTAATTCAGTTAAAAATTGAGTCACAATGAAGCATGGAATGTATAGGGATTGGGGAGAGTAAAAAAAATAGCATATAAAACCTAGAATTATATTTTGTTGCCTGTTCAAATCTCTCTAAGAGAAATCAGGCATTTCATTTTCTAGAACTATTACCTATTGACCGTCGTCATTCAGTGTACTTTGTGGCTTTGGTGTAGAGGGTTTTGTGTGTTCTATATTGACATTAGATTCTTAGATATTTTTTGTGAAAATGGGGCCTTTTGTTCTCAGTTTCTAGGTTTGAATGCTCAGTGTAAACTGGGGATCTGTGTAATAATATACTCTCAGAATGTTTCACTCAATAGTTTTATTATTTTATTTGGTGTCCTGTTAAAAGCACAGGCCACTACATTTATTATGTATTTCTTTAATACTGAATTTTGTGTTTTCAGGTTTACTCTTTTCAAATAATTATATTGTTTGTAGGTCGTGTCTACATGACAAGAAAATTTTTTTAGGGAAAGAGTGAACTAATAAATGTGGGTGCGGGTGTTAGTTTCTCAATGTGCAAATTGGTTCTGCCTTGCAAAATATTTCATCAGAATGTCTGTTTCAAATAGGTGTGCTCAGTCCCATTGAAGGGAGCCTCATCAAAGCCTCATGACTGGCTGTCAGTGGGAGACACCTGGTCGGTTGTCACCATGCCTTACCTCAAGTTATACCCTCCATGTAGACAGATAACTTGGAGGGCGAAAATATTTGGGGCCAAATAATACAGTACAGTTTGGGAACTCTGGCCTCGTGTAGACACGACCATACGTAACAGGGTAAGATGAACTAGACAAGAAAGGTTATAAGAAGCTTTTTGGAGCATATGTATCATGACTAGTAACTTGAGGCAACAGAGGAATGAGTGAAAACAAAGCATGAAAAAGAAAAGATAAAATCCTAAGCATTTGGTACCATCGCTTCCTTACTGGCGTTCCAGATAAATGGTTCCTCTCCTTTGTTCCGAACCACTGAAAAGTAGGCAACTCCTCTTCTTGGAGCAGGAATTTTAAGGGAGCAGATAGGGCTGGGGGAAGAAGATTTGGATCAGTAAAAGTCTGGAGGCCCTGCCTGTCCTAGATAACTAAAAGGGAATTCATGTGTATTTTCCATTGCTATGACAACACCTCCCTTTTTAATTAGTCTCCACATATCCCCTGTTTGTTTGTAATTCCCTGGGTCTGTCTTTCACTTTTCAGAACAATTTCAATGTATATTCAATAGCTTTTCATTTAATTCCAAGAAATTAAATTACCTTAGAGTATCGCTTTAAGCCATCAGATCCTGGAAGCTCTTCCTCTTGTTTTCTCCAAATAACATTTCTTTGCCTCTTTCAACTGAGTTACTGAGCTATTCAGTCTGTACTTTACTTAAAACTTCTCAGCTACTAAACAAAATGAATTCAGGATACTGAAGTACAGATTTATTATGTAAAACTAGTTTTGATATAGCTGTGCTACTCAACATTCTGTCCAAAGTCAGACTGCACCAGAGACGTGGTGTGCTTTGTTTCCAGTAAAATTTAGTTGAACCATTTGAATCCTGAAAATAAAATAGTTTCACTAGAAATTACAAGATCTTTGTCCATTCCACATAAAAGACAACTGCCTAGAGACCTGGACCTTGGATAAGCTTAGCAGTCCAACATGATGTTGGCAGAAGATCTCAGTGCTGATCTTGGAGAGGCAGCTCCAAGTTCTACCCTAGATAAAAGATGCTTGTTTTCTCCTTTAGTTTAACCGCCAGGTTCGTGCTTCCACTACAGAGCCTCACTGTGACAGAGAATGGAAAACATGAACCCATATGTCTGAGACTGCTTCTGTTCTATAGGAAATGAGACAGTACTAGACTGGAGTAATTTTAAACCTTAAGGAATTATCTACATGCTAGATTGAGATGTTCAGTGTCCTTTTCAATTTTGACATGGTGACAATGAAAATCTATGTATGAAATAATTATGAATCCATAATAAATATGATTGTTAGGCAAGCACACCATCAGGAATATTTCAATTGATGTTATTTCAATAGTCAAAGTATTTCAATAGTCAAAGACTACTATTTCAATCAGTAGTCTTTCAATTGACCTCAGTTAAACTTTGATGCTAAAAATCATTGCTTTGATAATAACGCCCTCAGAATAGAGTAGCTGCCTGCTATTAATGTTCAGTAATATTCAGTTAAGAAAAAGTATACTAAGTTAACTTCTGTGATTTTTTTCCCCAAAATATTAACAAGAGAATTACTTAAAGAGACCAAATTCCGTCAATGGTTTCATTTCCATTGTAGGTTGAAGGTGGAGGTTATACCAGTGGAAGCAATTTGCTGATAGGGCACCTAAAATGTTTTAATTTTTAAATGAAGTTCTATAGAAAAAAATTATCTATCAGTCACTTAGAATAATTTTAGATACACCCATTGAAAGGTAGCCACAATGCAAATATCACCAGAGTGTTCTGTAGGTATTTAGGCATATTAGACAAATAGCATTAATAATTCAACAAATATAATTGCTTTAGTATCATTATGAAATTTCTTTAGTTTAAAATGTAATTTATAAGAGACAAAAAAATTAGAAAATTTGGATCCACATATAACTTATTTGATTGGTTTAACTGAATTAATAAGTAAATTCAATCGAGCCAATGATCAGATTGAATGTTTTTTTTTTTTGACCAGCTGTTTTTCTGAGTTACTGTAATTATACCTATAGACTAAGCAATAACGGAGACCGATTTTGGCTTTAACGTTGCTATGCATTAGCTTAAGACAGAATTAGAAGCTAATGTTTGTCTTTCTTATATGATGATCTCACAATGTGAAAGAGACCATGAGATTTGCAGCTGGTAAAATTTAAAATCTCACTGTTTGAATTTTTAAAATTAATGGACTACTAAAGATGAACAATACTTGTCCAAAGTCACTATAATCATGATATATAAAAGATAGATTTTATAACTTTGAGTTAGCAGCAAATGTAAAACAGAATGTATCTTCTTTGCTTTTTGTCTTTTCTGTAGTTTTGGACGGTACTCATTATGTGCATAACTAACACTGTTTACTGTATGCTTCTGTCTGATCAAGTGCATGTTTAAAAAAGAAAGTTACTGTTTGCCTGCTTAAAGTTAAATGTTATAAATTTAAACATGTTCATGTAATAATCAGTTTGTTGAGCATGTGTTCACACCCTGTCACATGATTATTTCCTCTACTCAGAATGCTGCTTACAAACACAACACAGTTAACCTTGGCATGCTGCCCTATGGAGGTATTTCAGCAATGCATGCAGGCAGAAGCATGACTTTAAACTTGCAGACTAAGTCTAAATTTGATCATCAAGAACTACCTCTTCAGAAAGTAAGTATGGACTGCCCTACATGTGTCAGCATACCAAAGCCAATTAATGTTGTTTGTTCACTTAATGTGTTTAGGCTGTACGTACAACCCTGCTTATTATAGACTCTCACGAGTCCAAAAAGCACAAAGGCAAATAATGTAGAGCCTGAACTCTTAGCTGCTAAATGAATATTTGTAGCTAGACTGGTTATCAGGTTACTGCTTTTTGGACTGAGCTTTGCTTTTTGGATTGAGCAGGTACATGGCTTTTTGTGTTGCTTAAAGAAAGGCTCATTTTTCTTATTATTCATTTCCCTTGTCTTTTTTCCTTTGTTTTTCTTTCTTTTGTGTTTATATATTTATTTATTTATTTATTTTTCTTTTTTGGAGATAGCCCTATCTTCTCTTGGTGATGCATTCTGAGAACAGAGCTGGAATTATCAGATTTCAGTTGATTCCTGTGGAAAAGATGTAGGACCCTAAATTAGAATGGAAATTAAGCGGCTAGCCCTTCTAAATGCTTCTTCAGCCCATTTTTGTGTGTGTGGGGGGGGAAATATAACATAGAAGTAAAATATGAGAAACAAGTTTGTGGCTTAGGAAACTAGGTTAATGGAAAAGTAGCCAGTTCACTTAGTTTTAAATGAGAATGTAGGCACATTGAAAAGGGAATATACTGGAAGAGGAAACATTTCCATTGTTAAAGGAATATTTCTGCTTATTTTATTCAAGCAAAACTGAGAATGCACATTTTACATGTTTAGATTGATTAATGTCTTTGTCTTTGTTACATTTTAGTGGAGACTCATGAGTCATTTTCACACAATATGTCATTATGGCTATATATTAATATAGTCATTAGCCTAGTAAGTTGTTTTGAAAAAAGCAAAGCAAAGCAGGGATAAGAAAATGACAGCAGCCTTCAAACACTTCTCTCTTAATAAAATTAATAAACATATGAAACTCCTATCCCAGCAAAATTAAGGTCATAGACCTCAAAATCATATTTTATTCTTAAATTAGTCTTTAATAACATTCCCTAACTCTGGACGGTTTGGCTCCTACTGTGAATAGAATAAAAAAATCAAAAAGACATTTATATCCACAGCTTTTTCATCACTTACCACCACTTTAAAACAAACAAACAAACAAAATCCGCTAAATTGATAGCCTTTGAATGTTATTTTTCCTGTCCTCAGTCTCATGTTCCAGGACCAGTGGTGTGCTGCTAACTTTCTCTCCAGGGAGAAAAACAAGGCCCTGATTTGTGGTATTTTCCAATGTCAGTGATATAATACTCGCACTATGGCCAATTTCAAGGTGCCAACTTAACGTCACTGAACTCAGAACTGGGAAGATTCATGTATAGTTGGATCTCAAGAGTCAGTACAAATTGTCTCCAGCACACCATCAGCACAACTATTTTCACTTGAGTTCCTACTGTAATGGAACCTGTTCTTCATGTCCTCTCAGATGCCCAAGGCTCTCATCCTCTTCCTTAACAAAACCAGTTTTCAAAAAGGTCTTCAAACTTAATTGCACTAAGGAATAGATGAGATATCACAGCTTTTTTTTTTTTTTTTTTTTTTTTTTGAGACAGGGTCTGGCTCTGTCACCCTGGCTAGAGTGCAATGGCATCATCCTAGCTCACTGCAACCTCAAACTCCTGGTCTCAAGCAATCCTCCTGTCTCAGCCTCCTGAGTAGCTGGAACTGATGCCTGGCTGATTTTTCTACTTTTTGTAGAGATGGGGTCTTACTCTTTCGCAGGCTGGTCTTGAACTCCTAGCCTCAAGCAATCCTCCCTCCTCAGCCGCACAGAGTGCTAGAATTACAGGTGTGAGCCACTGCACCTGGCCATATACCACAGCTTTAAATAGACACCTCTCCTAGAGGCCTTGGCAATTAGAAACAAATCAAATCTTCAAACTAAAATAATGGGATTTCAAAATTCAGCAAGCAGATTAAAGAGATCTTGGTATTAAAGAAGCTATTGCCTGAACCCCCTGAAATTATATAGAAACTCCCTCATTTTGCCTAATTTTTGGCTATATTTATTCATCAATATATATAATATTAATATATAGATACATGCAGTATCTGAAAAATGGCAATATGCTTGAAACAGTGTTTCTCAGTGTCTACCTTGTTCTCCAAATACAAATTAGGTACCACTGTATTACTGTATTAATTTTCTTATGTCATTTGGGCTACCCTAGATGGATTCACTATCTATTACTATAGTTCTAAGATGATCTGTAACAGAAATAATGCAGAGTTATATTTGGGGACTTCTCAACCATCCTCAGTTGGGCACAGAGATGACCTAAAGGTATTCTCTTTGGATGCAAACCAGGAATAATTCGAGTATTGAAAGACTCCACCTCAAAATAAATTATCATCAATACTTTATTATCTGCACCAAAGAGAACGAAGAAGAAGGAGGAGGAGGAACAGGAAGAGGAAGAGGAGAAAGTAGGTACAGCAAGGCATGAAAAAGACACACAGGCAGGGCAAGTACTCCAGCACTGCAAAGATATCATGATCCCAAACTTATCAGTCAATTTAAGGCCTATAAACCTGAAGCATTTAGGCAGCTGGGACAACTCTGCTGCCCCGTCACCAGTGCAGGAACCTTATCGGGCACTGGGTTCTTAATCAGTTTCAAGAATAGTTCCAGGCTCTACCTCTTCCCACGGATTCCAATGTAAGCCTCTGTCCTTTCACCTCCATGCCCATATATGTCTCTTCTACAGAGCTTTGATTTGAAAATCTGTTTGTTTTTTCTGCCAAGCTTTAGAGCAACCTCTCTTCAAATGTGTTTCTCAGTTTATCCCTTCTTGGCTCCACTCACCATTACTAACCCGGTCCCATGATTGAGGTTCAGTTTCCCTAAACCTTTCTCCCCCTTAAAGGAGAGGAGATAGGCAAAAATTATTTTCCTTTTATTTAGAAATGCATAAAAGGCTATTACAACACTTTTGCTACTTAAGATGATAAAAATTAGTGTCTCAGGTATTTAAGATTTATTTGCAGCCCCTAAAGGCTCATTAGCCATGAGAACTGCACTAAAATAAAGGGTAAGATCAATGTATAAACAAATATTTTCAGTAAATAAAATTGACAAAACTGTTCCATCTCCAGTGGAAATTCTCAAGCTATCTCTTTTATTCATAAAATTCCTGAATTATAATATTGGCCATCTCTAGGTAGATGCTATGGCAAATGAGTCTGGGGTGTCCTAGAAAGAATGAAAGAAGTGGGAATCTAAATTAAGGTTTTCAACTATTAGAACTTAAGCACTGGAAATGGAGTCACAACATCCATTTGAACAGATGATGCCTTTCCCAAGGAACATATAGGGACTGACATCCAGACCCTATTCCAGTCCTCTCTGTTTGCCAAGACTTGTCTCTTGCAACAATGAGGAAGGAACACCTTTTTGTATTTCCTCTGCTGCACTAAGACTGTCTTTAAACACATTTGAAATAAACTAATTAAAGGATATAATTATTTGTGAATGAAGATTAAAGAACTCTGCACTTGAGAAGTATTTACATAGTGAATATTTATGTGGAAGAAAAGGGAACACTTCCCCAGATTTTGCTAGGTATTTTGAATATTTCAAATATTTTCATATTTATTACATGCCAGGTTGAGACTTGTACATTTTTCATGGATTACAAGCTAAATACAGACTTTCTATACTATAAATAGTAAATTATATTTTCTATGATAATTTTATGGAATACTTTAAGATATTAAGAAAATACCAAAATGACAACAAAATTAACTTAATAAATTTAATTTCCTGTAATATTTTCATTCATTGATGCTTATGCTATTATACTTTCCTAGAAAATGTAATACTATTTAGGAGCCAGAACATTTAGAACATTTGAATTGGACTGTAGAATTATTAGTATTTTCTATTTATTTATTCATTCATTCATTCATTTATTGATTTATCATTTATTTACTGCCTTTCCAAAAAGCATCTAAGGCAATTTTCTATGATGTTATTAATGGTTCCATGTGTTTCTTTGGATGTGTTCTATTGTAATTGAACTTAGTTGCTGTCTTGAATTTTATGTTATCAACAAGAAATACAACATTGTAAAATGTCAGTATAAGCTACCATTTTTATTATGTAAAGTATACATACAAATACATATTTCCATTGGGAGAAAAATAAGGACTAGGATTTATCGAGAATCTACTAAAGCACCATGAGGCACTTTACATATATTTTTTTCTCACAACTCACTAAAACTCTCAAAGAACATATTTATCTCCATTGTATAGATGAGGAAACTGAGGCTCATGTGTCACACAAAAGAATGTATTTTTATTGTTTCACTGTTGTCTCCCCTGCACTTAGCATAGTAATAGGTAGAATTTAAATCTGCCTTTGCTTGATACCCATGTACATATTCTTTCTACTACATGATGATGCCTTCTCAAATGTTTGTAAAACCTAACATTTTCATAGAACATGACTCATCATAGTTGATAAACCTCTTTCATATGCTTTATTATCTCACATTGTCTTCAGACCAACTGAGAGAAGGAGATATTATGGATGGAGAAAAGAATATACAAGTAGAATATATTAACTCATCCAAAGCATATCATGACCCTAATCATTCCCTATGTGTTACAGGTATAGTGCTCTCTTAGTTAGCTAACTTAATGAAAGTTAGTAATTACCTTGTGCTTGTTCAGATCCACTTGCATTTCCTGAGCACTCAGTATCACCAAGAATTATGTTTGGTAGCAGCAAAAGGCTAAAGGTTATGGACCCAAGAAAATCACTCATTAATCATCCAGACTGCTGCAGCCCTAGAGAAAAGCAGGGCTGGGGAAGAAATCATTGGCCTTTCCTAACTCCCTGTCTGCAGGTATCTGGCTGCCAATAAATAGTATGGTCTCTTCTACACTGGAGAAATTGATAATTTTCTCTTGTCCTTTTTTTTAGCTTCTATCACCATGATATTATGCCATCACATCTACTGCTTATTGGCTTATTGAATTAGGAACTAATATAAATTAATTATAATTTCACGGGCAGGAAAGCTGACATCATAGAAATATACATATTAGATAATCATCATATAATTTTGCCTGGAAGAAATTGATTTCACTGTTTTATTAAAATTAGTTAGTTAGTTGATATTCATCCCACCAGATTTTGAGTTAGAGAAATTTAGATAGCAATGTTTGCACCTAAACTATTTTTAAATTTCTAATGTCCTTTCTTACTGGATCTATGCAAATGACTCAGGATCAGATAGTACCAACATTTGGAGTGCATTTATTCACCCTAGTGCCAAGGGTTACTTTCTTAATGCCATTTTTTTTTTCCTGCTGAAAGCAAAGCAAGATTTATGCTGCACCTCAGGGCAACTCATGCCTATAATTTCTATCAATTTTGTTGCATTTATTATTGGCTACCTATCCCTCAAGAAAGATTTGTTTACCTTTCTAATTATGAAAAAAGCTTTCAGCCTGTAAATCCACATAAATTCTCATACATGGTGTGTAAAATTACCAAAATATTTAACAATAATGTTAGTACTCACGTGGGTGCTTCATCACCATTATAATGAAATGCTGGCTTAAAAATCATTTGGGAATTACATTACTACCTTCAGATTGAAGCCCATGGAATCATAATCACTTAGATCCAATCCTGGTGTATATTGACTTTTGTAATATCTGTATTTTCCAAAAAGTATGATGAAAAAGAATAATATAACAACAATTTCACTGGAAATACTTTGCAAAAAATTGTTTTTAACAGTTTAATCCCTTTATGAACCATGTGCCAATTACTCAACAAAACAGGTCCTTGTGTTCTTAAGTGATATGTCCCAAGACCTTTGCAAAGTGCCAAATTTTAATACCACTGTAATACAATTTCTCCAGCAAAATGCAATAAGTATAATTTCCCAAGCATACTGTGCACTTATTGATTAGCAGACCAGAGCAAAGCTGCTGTATCAGCTAAGCTTATTTAACTTACTTATGTGAATGCTGTTCACGCACATGTTTGTACATATATACATACATATGGATACACATGCATAGACATATACATATGCAAACATACACATATATAGACACAAATGTACATTTGTCTCAGCAAAATTATAAATTACTTCTTCAAGTAGACACTCATGATCATTCACAATAGTCAAAATCATAAATATTAAATCTACAAATGTCCACACTCATCTTTGCAGATAGCATCTGTTCAGTAAGACTGCTACAGCATTACTGCATTTCTTACAAAACATAGTAATTTCTCATTTTTCACTAAATCACACTGGCCATTTTCTCTATTACTTTATGAAATATTAAAGACTTGCAGAATTTAGAAGCTAAGGGAATAGTGTATTTTGATGATTTTCCATGTTTTTTATCTTTAATTAGTTATATATAATGAGGAAAATAAGATTCATTTTTACTCTTACCTAAAGAAAATATCTGGCCAGGTGCAGTGGCTCATGCCTGTAATCCCAGCACTTTGGGAGGCTGAAGCAGGAGGATCACCAGAGGCCAGGAGTTCCAGACCAGCCTGGGCAACACAGCAAGAAAAAAATTTAAAAATTAGCTGGGCATGGTGGTGCATGCCTGTAGTCCAAGCTACTGGGGAGACTGAGGGAGGAGGATCTCTTGAGACCAGAAGTTTGAGGCTACAGTGAGCTATGATTGCACCACTACATTCCAGCCTGGGTGGCAGAGCAAGACCCTGTCTCCTAAAAAAATAAATAAATGAAATGTCTGAATAAAATATCAAGAATGTTGTCCAAAAACTAATTGAATGAATAACTAAACATCAGTTTGGTTATTTTCTCTAGAATAATAAATTTCAACAGTGATAGCTTAATTTTTAAAAATATTTTTCAGGAGCTCCTTTGAGCCTTTTATACAATTTTAGCAGCTAAGCAACTAGATTTATATACTATACTCCTTTGGGAAAGAATGTGAACATACTGCATAATTCTCTTTCTGGTCCCCCCGACCACTGCCACTACCACTACCACTACCACTAAACATCAATAAATTGTTTTCATGGTCTTTCTATTTCTGCAAACTTAAGTCACCACTGGGTATCTCATTTAATAAAAACAAAAATGCCAGAGCATTCTTACACAGAAGTTGCTTTCAGGAAATTATTTCAATTTTTCTATCAAAATTATCTTTTTGATAAAGATAATAAAAGATAAAGATGAAAAAAGAATATCCTTTTTTATATGTTTGCATCTTTATGTTCCCTCTGGCACCTGTAATATAGAAGAATTGGTGTGATTGTTAATTCTAATTTTAAAAAAGAGAGATATTAATTTATAAACTAGTGAAGAGCCTACACCATCATATTAGGATTTTGACTAAAGGGCTTTAACCTTTTTTTTTTACACCGAAAAGAATGTTGTGATTCTCAATTGCTCTCTAACACTGATTCAGAGTCATGTCTGGGCAGCTAAAGCAAGTGTGGTAGAGAAAATAGAGACGGAGATGGGGATAATATGGAGATAAAAAAGGAAACCTGTGTTGAATTCTGGCTGCTTCTCAAAAATCTGCATTGCACAGATCTAGCCAGATGAACATATTAATTATCCCACTTCACTAGCAGACGTACCAAGTCAGAAAAGACATAAGTACTAAAAAAATCAAAAAGAAAACACTGGCCAGTGGTGTTTAAACTGCATAATTATGTCTTAACTGCTTAATTTCAATATTTGTATTTTCCATATTTTAATATCCAGAAAATTGTGTATGGGCATATGCAAACATATTTGTCTAGAAAACATGAAGACTAGAAAATCAATGCTTGAAAACAGACAGGAGTTGAATAGCTACCTGGGTATTTTCAAGTAACATGTAACTTAAATGTGTTGTCTACATTTGATTTTTCAAATAAACACAGATTCATTCCTAAATAACCCAGGAGCTTAAATTCAGTACACCTTTCTTCTTTTTTTAATATTTTCTGATAGACTTGTGAAAAAAGAATTCATATTACCAAAGTACGAGAAGAAAATTGAGTTATCTCCTTACTTTTCATTATATCCAGTAGACCCAAGGAAGACTTCATCTAGAGTCATAATAAGTTCTATTCTAAAATTTTTCCAAACAATGCTTTTTAAAAAATGCATGTGGTCAGAATGCAGATAGGGTGATTATATAATTGTTTTTCAAAGAACAAACTGGGAACTCAGTATAACCAGGTTAAGTCTGGCAAGCAGCCCATCTGTAACATGTTATAAAGAGAATAGTGCAGTTCTCCTTTTCTGGGGTTGGAGGATAATTCCTTACACAAAGTGCAGCAGCACATACACTCTCTAACCAGGCTTTATCAGTAGGAATTATTTAGAACATGTGCGGAAAATGGCGCAGCTAACACTGAGGCATAACATCTCAACCACATAAGAATTCCCCAGGAAACCAACCAGTGCTCGTATATCCTATAGACTAGGGAAGGAAAAAAGCCTTTGCAAAAATAGATACAAATATACCATTACATATCCCTCCACTGGGGGCTATCTTTCTGATGGTGTGTGATCGCTTGCTATTACTCAGGTTAGAATAGGAAGTTGCCCCCAAATATTTAATATTAGTAATAATAAAGACAGGAGCATTATTATTTGTTAAAAATAATAAGCAGAAAATCAGCCAAAAATAAAATATACATGAAGAATTTAAATGTTAATACCTAAGTGATTTATATAAATAAATAAATTTGGTACTCAAAAGAGTCATGATTTATTTATACTGTGAGTCTAATAGCATAATTTTTTTCTAATAGCGTATTTTTAATGTTGCTTTAATATTTCCCTCAAAGCTATTTGTAGATAATGCCATAAATCTTGCATTATGCCAATGTTGACACTATTTTGGGTTAGTGCAAGGCATATTCTCCCAGAATCAATACAGCCTTATAAAATTTACTTTAGGTTATGGTTTGGAATATTGGAAGTTACATTCTATGTATTATATGGTTTGAATTTATATTTTAAATAGTAAGATCATATTAAAGAGACAAATTAAGCAAATTTTAAATGTGGTTTTTAACACTTGGTTGATTTTATTCTGATTATTTTTATTCAGGTACTGTAAATAATCTAAACTTTTCTTTAAAATTCAGTAAATAACTCTAAGATGATTATCTTAATTGTTTTTCTCATTGCTTCTAAAAAGCTGTCAATTTAGAATTTGTACCTGGTAAATAGTATATAATAATATTTCCAGTTTAGGATATGTTGTTCTGCAATTAAACAAAATTAATTTTACCATAATCATTAGGGATTCTTTTCAGAAAACTATGGTAAACTTCTACTACATCACTAAAGAATGCCATACCATTTTTGCAATAGACCCCGTCCCAGCAAAGCAACATTTTAGACAATGGACAAGAAGATGTATCTCCTAGTGGCCAATGGAATCCTTATCCACTTGGGAGGCGGGATGTACCTCCGGACACCATTACTAAAAAGGTAACCAATTTCGACTTGATGACACAAACCATGAACCTTCCACATCCATTGTAATATGTAATCCATATCTTGTGTCTTAACATCATTTCTAACTTTCTGATAATTTTAGGCTAAATATTATCCTACTATAACATGTTTGGTTAACTGTACGTGCATTGAAAAGAATGGAAAATAAACACCGTCAAGTGTTCAGAGTTGGTAATGAATGTTTATGAACAACATTCTGCCACCTCTCTGCAGATACCATGTCTTTGACTTAAGAGTATCTTAAGCCAGGCGCGGTGGCTCACGCCTGTAATCCTAGCTCTCTGGGAGGCCGAGGCGGGCAGATTGTTTGAGCTCAGGAGTTCGAAACCAGCCTGAGCAAGAGCGAGACCCCGTCTCTACTAAAAATAGAAAGAAATTAATTGGACAACTAAAAATATATAGAAAAAAAATTAGCCGGGCATGGTGGCGCATGCCTGTAGTCCCAGCTACTCGGGAGGCTGAGGCAGGAGAATCGCTTGAGCCCAGGAGTTTGGGGTTGCTGTGAGCTAGGATGACGCCAGGGCACTCTACCCCAGGCAACACAGTGAGACTCTGTCTCAAAAAAAAAAAAAAAAGAGTATCTTAAGATACTCTAACCTCTTAATACCCATCTCTGAAGTGCAAATACAGAAAGGTGTATGACATATACTTCTGACTCTCTTGGCTTCAGCAGTGTGTTGTAGCCAATTTGCATAAAATGAGATTTGGCCACAAAAAGACTGATTCACTATATCTAAAGTCACAATTCATTCAAGAAACATTTAGTGAGCAACTGTATGTACACTACGCTATGTGGAACACTTACTAGATTCTGGGGAAACAAAAATGAATGAGGTGTGGTTTCTTACCTCAAGAACCTTTTAATCTCCTGAAGTATGCTGAGTCTTAAGTAGGTAATTATAATACTACATGATAGATCACCAATACAGGAGTAAAAAGAAAGCCAGCACCTGGGAAAAGATCATTGCAACATATATGAGAGACAAGGGATTTGCATCATTTCAGAATATATTTTTTTAAAACGCCTACAAATCGATAATAAAGACATACAACACAATTTTTAAAACTGGCAAAATACAAGGGGAATCAAGAAGGTAAATAAATATTAAAACAAAACTGAACCTTTCTATCAATCAGAGAAATGCAAAAGATGCTATTTTACATTTACTAGACTGGCAAAAATTAAGAAATCTGAAAAAGTTGTTTGCAAGTATAAGAGCAATGAAAACTCTTTTATACTTCTTGTAGGAACATCAAGCACAATCACTTTGGTAACAAATTATCTTGTAAAGCTGAACTTGCATATACCCTACATTCCAGCAATTCTCCTCCTAAGATATTAAACTATAAAAACTCTTATACATGTCATCAAGGTACTTGTAATGTTTATAATACCAGCAAACTGGAAAAACTCAAATTTCTATCACTGGGAGAGTATGTAAATAAGTTCTGTTTTCACACAAAGAAATATTTCACAGCAGTGAAAATTGGTAAGCTATAATTACAGTACTGTATATAAACTTTAGAAACTTAATTTGAGTGGAAAAAAAGTTCCAGGAGATGGAAAACATCAGGAATACCATATTTATAAATCTCGAAAATAAGCAAAACTAAAAATACACCGTTTAAGCATAAGTACATGAGAAAGAAAACTATTGTTATAAGTGAATGGTAAATAGAATATTTAGAATTATGGTTACCTCTAAAGAGAAGGTAGTGGTCGGATCAGGGAGGAAGCTGATACAATTGTTGGTGCTATTCTAATTCTGAAGTCTAATTGTGGTTCTTACACTCTAGTTTTTAAGCTGAGTGTTCATTTTATAATTATGCTTCATAACTTACATATATATTAAATACCTACCTACATTCTTTGTGAGGTAGATGATTTTTTCCCTTGATGACTACTTCAGTGCTTTTAAAAAAGTACATTAAATATCAAATTTTATTTTATCCAAAATAATTTGTAATGTTACTGATTTCAAGGCACTACACATGTTGTTAATTTGCCTATCGGGTAATGATATCCAGCACTACAGGTAAATATGATGTGGTGAGTGCTGTGAAGATGGGATACAGGGCTATGACTACACCTGGAAAGGGCACCTGTTTAGTGAGGAAGTTGTGAAGAGAGGAGTGGTATCAAATAAGGTGAGAAGGATAAGCAGAAACCAGACCATGCTGGGCTTTCTCTTGTAGGAAATAGGAAGAGGAAAATTAAAGTGTTTTAAATAGGGAAAGGACATGATCAAATTTTCATTTAGGGAACACTGAGATAGCTTTTCAGAGAATGAGTTGGAGAGAATGACTGGAGACAATGGAACCAGGTAAGAAGCTCCCACAGTGACCCAGGCAGAGGAGACAGAAACAATGGGTAGTGGACAGAAAGGCATAGATCCAATACCGTCTTAAAAGGTAGAGCCAAAATGATCTTGTGATTGGCTGGACATAGGACATAGAGATAGTTAAAAGTTGTGAAGCTGATACCCAGGTTTCTAATTTGGTCAAGTGAGTGATGATGTTCATTCACCAAGATGAGAAATACAGAAAGAGTAACAGGAGAAGAGTAGGGGAAGTTTAGGTTTTATTATGTTGATTTGAGGTATGTTTCTTTCGGACATTTAAGTGGAAGTGTTCAGTGCATATTTGGATGTATTTATCTAAAGTTCAGTAGAGAAATCTTAGCTGGAGATACAAATTTAGGAGTCATCAGAACATGTTATTACTGAGTCATGAATGAGACAGAAGAATGGCACAGAACCCCAGGGAACAACATCTAAGAGACATAAGATACTTAGGAAGAAGAGACAGAGAAGGAATAATCAAAGATTTTATCAACAGGATGATTTCTACAGCAAGTTGTAGAAAATTCAATGGAAACACTTTTAATATTAAGGAAATATTTAGCTAACATAAGAAGTAGTCAAGATCTCGGCTAATCCTCAAATTTAATACTTGGTTCTCTATTATTAAACACTTAGGGACTTTTTTCCCATTCCCCTCTGCCACCACACTGTTGGCTTTATCCTTAAACTGATTCCTCTCATAATTATAAGATGATTATCAACAACAATTTGTGCTATGAGCTTCCTCTTTTAAATCCAGCAAGAGAGAGAAACAAACTTCTAGTAACTGTCTCTTTTATCCCTGAATCTTTCAGCGCCTCTTCTTACATCTCATTGATCCAAAATAGCTAAGGACTTCCCATCCCTAGCAAGAGGAATGGAATTATGTGAGTTACAAGGAAGATAGAAGAATATTAAAGATATTTAAGATGGCAAATACCTGAACATATTTAAAGGCTGAAGGGAAGAAACCATTAGTGATGGGGAAATTGCAAATCTCAGACAGGAAAGGGGGGAAATCTTCTTTTTGAGGAAAGAGGAGAGAATGGATGTGATGGCAGCATATGGAGAGAGTGCCTATCAGAGCCGAGAGTAAGCTGTCCAACCAAATGAAGGAATCATATCCACTTACATAGTGGCAAAAAGTCACTATCACTTTATCTTAAAAGGAAAAGTCTTACTCATTTATTACTCTAAATGGAACTAGCAAGTGTTTATATTATCCATCCATACATTCATTTTCAAAGTCCATAATACTACATTTATAATCATATCATCGATACACATCATGATGATCATTTCCTTGCCTCCTTACTTGCTTTAAGGAACCCATGCAATCCTGTGATTGATTAAACATTTGTGAACTGGTGGTTAACCTTATTAAAGGCTAAAATAATTGTTTAGTCTACCTGAAAACTTTATTAAACTTTTATACTTCTTGTCAAATGGGAAATAACACACTATGTCTTTAAAATATTATCATGTCTTTATCGTACAAAGTCATTTGTATCTTCTTCCTACTATCATGATAAGCAGCTTCTGACTGCTCCATGTTATAGCAACTTTGCTTAAAATCTGAGATTTCTTGAATCTATAAATAGATATGTCTACTTGTTAACTTTCAGAGTAAAGAGAATAAAGAATGCTTTAAATATTCAAATTTAGCGATTATTATATATTAATTGAATATGCCAAGTTAATATTCAGTGAGGATCAACCTAAGGAAATGAAAATAGTAACAGAAGTATTATCCTGGGCTTCAAAATTTACTAAAATAAGTGTGATAATTATACTATTATTTATTGAATTTATATTTTCAATGAATGTTTTTAAAAGTTAGTGCTATTTTTGCAATTGTCATGGAATGAGATATTATGTGTATCTTAGGATACACATAATAAGAATGGAAACCTAGAAATTCAACTATAAATTGAATGGGGAATCAAGGGGAGTAAGTGGTGAAGAATTCTTAGCCAGTGCCTACATTTGAGTTTATTTCTCTAAGCCTTTCCAGGAGATTTTTTTTTAATCTTATCTCTATACCTAAGCCATAAGAAACCACTATGATGCTATAGGGATTTGGTGGGAAATCAATTTTATAGAAAGGTTTTGACTGGTCGCTCTCTATTCTAGCTATCATAGCTTTTTGGTTGAATTAATACTGGTAATAATCTTGGCCATGCCTACCAGTACTCCAAGCACAATAGGGGAACAAATGTTGGTACCTTCCAAGCTGTGGATCCAAAGAGTTAGACACATAAAATAACTGGACAAAATAGTGTTCATCTCTCTGAAAGCATTTTGCTCCTTGTACCTACTGCTACTAACTTGTGTACCTGAGAGTGGCTAGGTGATGGCAAAATGTTGAGGGTGTTAAATCCTGTATTGTTTTTTTAATGGTGTAATAGTAGGTGGTAGTTTTTTAATCTCCTCTTGCTATGTCAGTCCCCAAAATCTCAAATTTTGACGTCCATTAATTTTACAAGTCTAGGAATCCCTGCTAAAAGAACACATCACAGCTACATACATCTCCCTAACCCCTGAATTCCAGGCAGTAATATATGAGCACTTTAAGAATTATTAATAGTACTAAAATTTTTTTCAATGGCTGAAAACACTTGTAGTTTCAGA